TTCAAACACTTCTCGCTGGATCTCGCAGTGCTGTGCTGTAACACTGTCGCGAATTCAACTTTGGTTCCCAAGTAAAGCTGTTCCGAGCTCGGACAAGTCTGTTTGTGTCGTGGTCCGAGCTGACAAACGGTCCTCGATGCACAGCTCAAACGAGTAGCAATTTAGTTCATTCCGTTTGCCATTTGATGTTTCTCATATGCAACAGAAATGGCAGCGCTTATGAGTTAAACAACACGGTGGTCGCGCTAGTGCGACCGCTCACAAAAATTACTGGCACCGGCAGAGAAAATGGTCGCAGTCTGGAGCCCTGGTTTGTTTTTAAAAATACATGCATACTGCATAGAAAATTAAATTAGTCTTCAATATTTTTGGTTCATTTTTTTATCTTTATCAGCTGATCTTTTACAGATGCATTTTATCATTTAAGACCCTGGGACTTCATGATAGGTTATATTGCTAAGAATCAATTTCTCTTTGGAAATTTTAATGTGATTTTCACTTTCGGTGCTGAACTGCTGTGGTGGTTAATAAAGCACAGAGTTACAATAGAATACAGAGATATTTTCAAGTGCTCTCCTTTCAGGCTGTTCTGTCCACTAGGGGTGCAACGGTTCTCTGTAAAAAATCGATAAAAAATGTTGCGAACACACACGGTTCGATATGCACAAGAACCGCGGTTCAACTTAAATCTGACAATGCATCTGTAATATGGTTTGTTAGAGTTTGGCTAATGCATGTTTCTGTTGATGGAGGTTCAACTTAAATCTGACAATGCATCTGTAATATGGTTTGTTAGAGTTTGGCTAATGCATGTTTCTGTTGATGGATACAAATTCTGGCTTCCCAATACATTACAGCGATGAGAGAAAAAATGTATGCCGTCATCATGTGTTGATAGCGCAGGTGAGACCAGAACAGCACACGTTGCTATCTGTGTTTAAACTAAACTCATTTAAGCCTTGCCAGTTTAAATATTAAAGAGCCAGAAGACGCAAACTAGCGCACGCAGTGAGAAGATCTGTGTGCGCGCTCATCTGAAGCGCGTGAACCAGCGTCTCAGAACGCGCGCAAATATTAAGCTCTCTTTGAAGTATTGTGCTTGAATGGACAAATTCACACAAAAATTATGTCAAAATGCCCGTCTTGGTGAGTATCCTAGCAGACATAGTCGGCTGAACAAACAGGATCAGTGCGTAACTTTTGTAACTTTAATAAGGAATAATTTTTAATTTATACAGTCAAATATGCAATGTAGTTTTACATTTGATTACTTATTCAATTTCTGTACCTAAAAACTGTTAGAGCTACCTAAAAAACCTGAAAAGCACTGTTTATTTTATTTGTATCTTTGCCCCCCTAGAGGACGCAGTGTCTCGTTCCCTACTCAGGGAACCATGGTTACACAAGTAACCTGAGACGTTTTTTCCCTAAACATAGCAGATACCGAACCGTACCGAAACCGTGACTCTAAAACCGTGACACAAACCGAACCGTGAGTAAGTTGAACCGTTGCACCCCTACTGTCCACAAGATGAGACCGTTCCTATAGCAAAGATTTTACCGCAAAGGCTTTAAAAATTTTGCCAGCAACATTGTGACTCTTCCCACACAGTTTGACTCATCTACTGGGTCTCGTTGTTCCTGTGAGGAAGAGAATAGTGCGAGTCTCTCAAGCAGTCAATAAACACTCTCAGTATTGGCTATGTGATGCACACTTGGCAAAACCTGATACAGTCTGGTGACACCTACAGTTGTAAAGCACCAGAAATGGATCTCACATGGTACGAGGCAGCAGTATGTTGTTATAGAGAGGCTACATATATTCCACCTACACACACAAACGCTTCACAGAGCCCCTGACCTAAAAAAAAGAGAGTTCCTAAGAAGTTGCAGTTATTCCAAACATCTGCCTGTGCTGTTTACCATTACACCACATACACATTCATTCCCTCACAGCCTAACATATAAAACCACAGCTGCAAAGTCAGAGGTTCTGGTATTACTGACATAACTCTTTAAGATGCAATCTTTTAGACACTCACAACCCAAACAGTATCTACACACACGTGCCGGTTCCCAGCAGGCCTGTGTGGTGGTAAATGGCAGTGCTGGCCAGGATGATAAAAACGCAGTCCAACGGAAACAGACAGGCTGATTTACGAGGCCAATAAATATGGACTAAGTGATAATCTGTTGAACATTATTATCGCTCTTCTCTACAGTCAGATTAATCCACGTACAGCATGCAGCATCCTTTCTAGCCTAATCCCACAATAATCACAATGCACAAGCCTGAGGAGTCAGTTAAAGCTCTCTGTTTGCCACAACTAATGCTAAATTAAGATACTACTTAGGTGTGGGAGGAACAAAAAAACAAAAAAAATCTCAGCTGCAATGTGATTCTCTCTTATTAATCGATTCTGTATGCTAATTAATCGATTCTTAGGCTAACTCTTTTCTTCTGCATTTGTACACTAGAGGCAGTCATATTCATTTTGCTGCCAATTACACACAAAACCATTGAACAAGTACACGAACTTAAGGTTTCATGGGTGAAGCGAAATACAAGGGCAATCATGTACGTTGCTTAACAATGTATGTTGGGCGACTTAATAGTTTTGTGAAAAACATTTGAATGGTAGTAGGGGTGGGCGATATGACCAAAATCTTATATTACGATATGAGTAATTTTATTTCACTGTAACGATATGTTACAATATAATTATTTTTGCTTTAAATAAGGTCTTTGACAAACATTTTTGATACCATATTTCTTTTTTCATAAACAAATTCCAAATGTTTGTCACCAGTGTCAACATCACCAAAAACTAATAGCCTAGATTAAAAAAAACACACACACAAGCTCACTGAAGATAAGTAAACAGTCAGTTATTAAATAAGAATAAGAAACTAATTACAAGCAATACGACAAAAAAAAAAAAAACTACAGTAGAACAAATAAATAAACGCTACATACTTTTTATTAATTTTAATGTTATTTCACTGTAACGATGTCACAATATTAGTTATTTTTGCTTTAAATAAGGTCTTTGACAAACATTTTTGATACCATATTTCTTTTTTCATAAATAAATCAATAATTTTGTCACCAGTGTCAATATCACCAAAAACTAATAATAGCCTAGAATAAAAAAATAAAATAAAAAAAAACACAAGCTCACTGAAGTAAGCAGTCTTATTTAACAGTGATTAAATAAGAATAGGAAACTAATTACAAGCAATAAGACAAAAAAACTACAGTAGAACAAATAAACAAGAAATGCTACATACATTGTATAAAGTAATTAAATGTGTAAAAACACTGCATATTCTTCATTGTGTAAATTAAATATATATATTTCTTCTTTTTAAAGCTACAAAAGTCAAGAGCAGTGAGAGATTTTCTCTCTTTTATTGTTTGATTAACATGAATGACAGACTGCAGGAATATTAGACTTGTGTCACTTTAACAGCTGCCCGGATCCAATATTCTGTTACACACGTTTTCTTTCTCAGCTGTTTGCTTTTACCTAATACCTAAATTATTGTGTTTACAGGGATTCTTGCAAAGACGAGCATTTTGAAACATACAAGTGTGTGTATTTAAAGTGCCCCTATTGTGCCATTTTTAAGGTTGCTAATATTGTTTTGAGTCTCCTAAAACATGTTTACATGCATGCAAGGTCAAAAAACACGTTAGTTTTCTCAAAAAATAGATTTAATTTTACCTCATTTCTAAATGATTAGTAAACGACCTGTGCGAAGCATTTCAAAGAATCAGTCTCTCTAAACCCCTCCTTTCTGTGAGCCCTCACTGCTGTGATTGGTCAGATGGCACAGTCCTTTGTGATTGGTCCAGAGCCGTAGAGAGACTGGCTCTGGATTGGTTTACCGCGTACAGCGCGTGTCGGAAACGAAACGCCCATTGCCATGATGGAATGGCAGCCCTGGAGGCTTGTCAATACATAGAAAAGATGGTATCGATTGTACCTTACCAATTCGAATGACAGCCCTAGAGACTTGTCAATACATAGAAAAGATGGTATCGATTGTACCTTACCAATTCGAGCCGGAGTCTGATGAAACGGTTGAAATGGCTGATCGGCAAGAGACTGATTCGCAAGCACGACTGGAGCAGGACGTTTCTCAGTGGTAAGTGTCAAGTGTTAACAAGTTTGTGGTAATTATAAGATGTGATAAAACAAATTTACTCTCACAGCGTAGGATACAGCGTCTTCTCGACATGATGTTAACCACACAGAAATTTTACTGTTTGTGGGCGGGCAAGTTGGCGACGTAGAACGCGGGCGGACATTATGCAGATGTGTTACTTCGTGACGTAGAGCTGTAACAGAATAAGATTCGAATTCCTGACAACTCGTTTAGGCGATTGCGAGCTGACTCTTTTTTTTATAGACAATAACTTTATTTATCGTGCACTGTCGGCTTCACAACTTTGCAGATATTTTATGTTCACATACAGCTACATGACACAATGCATGAAAGGTAATATTCGAAAAGGCATAATAGGGGCAATTTAACCGTTCAAGCATATAAAGCGACAAAAATAATGCCGTTTTATGAGCACCGTCTTCACGTTCGCGGGCCTCTCTGACATATAGCGAAATGAGTTCTCTTTTGCTGCTGACTGCATTTCAATTAATTGCTTAAAGTCACTTGATTTTAAACCACAATGAAAACACGTGCAAACAAAGTTTTCATGACCACTAAGCACAACACTGTGATAGAGACGATAGTCCAAAATCTCTACCGGTTAATCGTGTCTACCAGTGTATCGCCCACTCCTAAATGGTAGTTTAAATTTGAGATTAAAGGTTAAAATGTGTGAATGCCATCAGTTGCAGACTGTAATTAGCAATTCACTTGCATCTTTATTCCACCAAAATGAGAACATGTCGCATTAACTAGCAATAGTTACAAATATGACATCTAGGTATTAACATCTATGATGAAAAAAAAAAAAAAAAAAAATTGCAAACCTTTGCCATTTCCTCAGCTCCACCCACGGTGAGGGGCTGACGATGAGTTGAGTGACGAATAAGAGACTCTCTCCCCATTTCCAAGCGAGGACGCTTCATCTCAGAGTATTCCACTTCTGATTGGCTGCCGGGGTCCTGTAGGTAAATGTGTTCATATCGGATGTGGGGTTCTTGACCTCTGTAGGGGGAGAAAAGAGCAAGAAGAGAAGTGAATTATGGGTAAGAGACAGACATTAGTCTAATCAAAAAGAATGTCAGGATTAAAAGGTTAACAAAGCAGTTTCGTCTTTTTACACACTGACATTTAACAGCAGTTACACTAGAAGACCACGACAGTGGTTCCAGTAATACAAAATGCTTTAAATTGATAACGAGGGCAAGACTTGATTTTATCCACTGGGAATTAATAGGATCATGAAAAAGGGGCATTTAATACCAGAATGGGCCGAACTAAATTTGTTACAACTAGGGCTGGTAAGTGATTAAAATTTTTAATTTAATTAATTACATGACGTGGTGATTAATTAATCTAATTAATCGCAAATTAATCGCACATCAAATTTGGCTAAGAAATTACTCCCAAAAGATAATTTGAAGTCATTGTTGTGTAAAGCATCAAACAGACATTACAAAAAGTAGCTTCAGCAAGAAATATTTTGTTTGATAAAATTTATTACATATACTCTTTTGGACCATGAGGGTGAGTAAATGATGACACAACTGTCATTTTTGGGTGGGTGAACTATACCTTTAATAATTTATTTTATTAATTTTATTATTATTACTATGGAGATATTAATAATGATTAAGTCATCGAGTCATTTATTCATTCGATTCGTTCAAATGGCTGATTCATTCAGGAGTGAAGTAAATGGTTCTTTATGAATGGTCCATTGAATCATTAGGCTTGTTCGACTTGAAGCAGATCATGACACCATCAGACAGATCGGTGTGTGACATCAAAGTACCGCAAGAGCTATCGAGAACAGATGGCTCCTTATGCTTTTGAATCGCTCTCGCGGTACTTTGATGTCATTCACCGATCGGTCTGTGGACCGCCGCTTCAAATCCAACGCGCCAATGGTTCAAAGCCCCAAATGATTCACCCAATTTGTTCAAAACGTGCATTAAGAAATGAAATGTTGCTGTGTGTTGCTCAGAGACTAACAGTTCTGCTTTGTCTTTATATTTTCGTTGGCAAAATTGAGCAAAACAGACAACATTGTGTCTAAAATAACACAATATTAACTTCTTACTTACTGAACTGTTGTATAAGATCAGTATCACATTTGCACTCGTGTGATATTGCACTATTGTGATATATGCCTATTGCTCGTGTGATATTGCTTAACTATATGTAAATATGAGACAAAAACTCAAACGGGCATTTTTGCCCCATATCTTTAATTTTTTCTAACCACGTTCTCTAGGTTCCATCACGCATTGAGTTGTTGCCCTGCCTCATATCAATCGACTTTATGAAATGTCAGATGACCCACCATAGGTCTGGGGCGGGGCAAGTGCATTAAATGCGTTAAAAATTTTAGCGTGTTTTTTTCAGCATAATTAATCTAATTAACGCGTTAAATTACCAGCCCTAGTTACAACAAATAGCAATTAACTATTGACAAGATTTTAGAAATGCTGTACATACCTAAAGAGTTGACATATGATGCATTTATTTAAATAAATGAGAGAAAAATAAACATGTCTAAAAAAATCTACAAGATACAATACAATGACCTGAATGACTGAGAAACCACATAGACATACCAACATAACACCAGTGCTAAACATCCATTAAGGATGGGTCTAATGAAACACCCAGTAATACAAGAGCAGTCAGGACAGGTCAGGATCTCTGCAATTATTTCACAAATAATTTGATAAGTACAGGTCACTTAGACCAAAGATGAGCCTAACCATTGCAATGTTTGAGTGCTGCGGAGGCAACAGTGCCATGCCGTGCTTGGTACAGGAGTGAGCCTTTTCACACAAGAGTGCGAAGAGTAAACTAACCTTGATGCTGGTGGACAAAGTGTGAGATATAAGAGGAAAAAAGAGGTGCTTGACCCTCACACGAATACATTATCCACATCAATCACACATACACACCATCTCTTGTTCTCGATTACCACCAAACACCGGTCCTTTCTGTTATATACACACACGCACACATATATAGCTGCAATATAGTCTGAGATAAAGCACTGCCATCTAATCAGTGACTCTGAAACACCGAAACATGACCACAACATGAACCTATAATAATAATAATAATAAAATATCTCTTGCTGTTGTTGTTATTATTATTAATATTTTTATAAATAAATCTTTAGTGTGTAAGAAAAAATATGATAATTTTTCATGGTGCATATTGTGTTCCCAAACGCATGTTATCAGTGTCCCAAACATTGGTTTTATTTCACATAACCGTCCCGGTCTACTTGTACATGTTTTGTTTGAGGCCCAAATAGGGGCAGGCTGCTTTACTTTGTATGATCAGGTGGCCTGTGAAGGCCTTCCTGTAGCTCAGACTGATCAAGAGCAAATATATTTACACACACATGAACTCAATAACCCTGAACGGCAACGGTACACATCACACTAAAACCACATGTGCACACACACACCCTGTTTCAAAAGACTTCCCTTCCTGTGCCAAAGCCAGAGATTAGACAAATGTGAACACACTAAATAAACACACATGCACTCTATACCCCTAGACATCTACACATCCCCATTATTTTGCCCACAGAGCACAAACACAGTGCAGACTTTGTCTGTTAGACATTTGGAAAATATACATTAACAATATCCTGCACATATTTTGCATTTAAACACAGTAAGTATTAAACACATAACCAGAGGTGAAATCAGGTCATAAAGATTCTCAAGACAAACCAGACAATGTTTGCCGAGGTTTAAAACTATAGAGCTTGAGTGTATATGCTATGCTATCAAGGGAATAAAAGTGTGTGGGTGTGTCTAAACGTGTGGGTTTGTTCACAATTGAAAACATAAATGGGTGTATCCCTCATATTAATTACACAGTCTACCCAGCTTAAATAAACCGTACACACAGACTCCAGCACTGACTGTGATTTATACAAACAAATGCTGACGTACATGCATGTGAGCCATTCCACACCACATAGACAATGAAACAGAGCAGGAGATTTAGCATGATATGTGAATGCTACAGACAAAAGACACCTTCAAAGCGTTTCATTTCGTTTTTTTTACTTTTTATGTTTCTGGACTCCTTTTTAATGGTTAAATTAAATTCTATTAATCCAAAACATGTCTAATTAATTAAAATCATGAGTTAAATTTGTCAAAAAGTTAATTTGTTAAAAGTTTAACAAAAATTACATGTTTAGGACCCTATGAAATGTTTTATTTTTTTAAGTCTCCTACAAAAGGATTTATTCTATCTAAAAGAGAAGGCTGATCCAGACCGATGCCCCCCTAAAACGGCTCGTTCTAACACGCCCCCACATATCTAGGTCACTATGTGGGAATATTTGCATAATGCCGCCCAAATGTGCACGCAAGGAAAGAAGGCGTGGTTTCAGTAACCGCAGTTAGTGTTGATGCAGCCATGTCAGGGAGAAGCTGTGTGTTTCTAGGCAAATGCAAAAGCACTTTATTTGGCCTTCTGAAAGTAGATGCAATGAGGAATCATTGGTTAAGATTTATTTACAACAGAACGGCAAACAATTTGTGCAATGCGTTTTATGGACGACAGTTTTGTGAACCTAGGAGAGGTTAGCTTTCAACTTTCAAGGCTACAAACTTTGCACCCTACAAGGCTGGCTGTGCAAAGGTTATTTCTAAAAAAATGGGTAAATTCCGACTTTGCTATGACAATCTGGTGCTTCTGAATTAGCTACTGTAAGTGTGTTTTCTTAATAGTTTAAGTATTTGCTATTGACTGTTCGAATGCGGAGTTTTGTGTCGTGTAGAGTATCGTGTTGTGTGTGTGTGTGTGTGTGTGTGTGTGTGTGTGTGTGTGTGTGCGTGTGCGTGAGCGAGAGACAGGGTCACATCACAGTGGAGTCAGCTTTCTTAATCGCGGCTTGTGTACTGCAAATACATACGAGCATCATCACTGTGTCTGTCATGCGACTCTGTTCCCCTTTCGGGCTTGAACTGATGGTAAAACTAAGGACATTATTTACTGTCTTTACATTTATGTTGAAAGCTGTAACTCGCGATTATGGAAAGGGACGTGCTTGTGGTGTTCGGCCAATTATAATGCACTGGGTCAGCTGGCCAATCAGATCAGACTGCTTGTCGGAAGGAGGGGCTTTGTAGAAAACGACGCGTTTGAGAGAGGCGGGGCATAGAGGAACTACAATAATGTACAGTATTTGAAAAATAATGTGTTTTTTGGACTTCAAAGCATTTCAACATTCTGTTACACCAAATACACAAAATAATGATCTTTAAAATAGCACCCCTTTAAACTAATTTTATTTTTTGGAAAATAAAGGTAATTTAATATTACAAATTAAAACACTGAAGAAATATTGTATGATTATTCCTTAAAAATAAGGTTTAAATAATTTTAGTAGTAGTAGTAGCAGCCTACTATTACGTACATTCTACTGAACAATAGTAATATATTTCTGCCAATGCCTTCAAGTTAAACTGAACTTTTATTTTGACAGGCTGCCGTGAATACCTTTACATTTCTGTGTATATGATATGAGGATAGTTTTACTCAAATGAAACGGTCAAATGCTCATGAAGTGACTCTCAGAGCAGTTCTGTAGATGTTGTTCATGTATTTATGTCCTCACTTAGTTTACGCTAAAATCACAGCAAGAGTCACACACGCTTCAGTACGAGTGGTAAACAAAACCGCAGTTCAAACAGTTCGGACATTGCGTGAATCAGAGGTAAAAAACGATGTAAATACCATTCAGTTTCTTGCACAGACCGATCGTTTCGTGTCTTTACACATCAATGTATCGTCACGAGCCGCAGGGTTTAATTTGGTTTTGTTTGTGTATGTTTTTATTTACTCTCAAAGCCGTGATTCCCATTCACTTCCATTATATGACTGACAGACTCAACGGTTCGAGTTAAAAATCTTCGTTTGTGTTCTACTGAAGAAACTAAGTCACCTACATCTTGGATGCCCTGGAG